ACCGTTGAGCATTGTGCTTCAGATGTCAAACTTTCCACTTTGCGCGTACTGTAAGTGGCCAAGCGCTGGTAACCTTTGGATTCACACGTATCTACCGAACTGGAAACATACTCAATAATTTGTCGACCTAGCACTGATCTGTATCAACAACACAGTTCACATTTAAACTCAGCGCGCATGTCAGCTACGGATGAGCTCATGGATGGACTGAACCTTTATCCGGCTGTGCATCGGCTCTCTAAGCGTCGTGCTAGTTAGCATTTGGAAGCTGGTCAAGCTAGGGTCATATAATGTACAATGCGATTTCAAGTAGCAGAATGTAGGTAACATAGTCTGGTGAGCAATATCCTGGAGGTTACATAGTGATGTGAATCGCGGCCGAGTAATACTACGAAGAGGAAGATGCCGTAGCTCACCGTCTCGGTATATCCCCGCATTAGACCCCACTTGAGAACATAGCAAGGGTATCATAGATCATGATGCGTACAACTGTGTAGTGGGCAACACGTGAAATAACCGCGAAATAGAACCGAGTTAGACCTTGCTCGTGCGTCCTAGGCAGGTGCAATAACAATACTACATTGCACCAAGTCTGTAGTTATCATACTAGAGTGAAACTGTACCCAAGCGCAACTTACATGGGCGACAAAATATGGATGACACAAAGAAGATGACGGAGATGGAGTAAGCAACTTTTCAAGTTAGCAAGGGAGTGGTGCGATAAAGTTCACTGCTATTCATAAGCTCAGCCAAGTTTAAGTCCGCTGTGTGAGAACTGAATTGATAGCTATGCTCACTAACGAAGAAGTAGAAGCCCACTGGAACACTACTGACTACTCATTGGTGTGTGCTGTAAATGCCGTGTCCTATATTAACTGCGGACTATCCGTGTTAAAAGGTAAACCAGAGCCGGGATCCGTATCCGGATTTGCCTGTCACTGCGATCTCCATGGGGACACCCACAGGACGCGCGCGCCTACAGAGAGACCATGGGTGGCTTACGCTGCACCACCCACCCCGTGTCCGGCGTAAACCCGAAGGAATAAGACGAGGAGGCATGTGGATGGGAACCACGTTTCATCAACGAAGCCCACTCACACTCTTGCAACAAGCAGAACAGAAGCATTCCGGCTTAATTTGGAAATCCTGCACACCAGACGTACACAAGGCGGTGGTTGGCCCGTAGCCGTTCCACACAGGTTGCTTGGGACCACTCTTTGAGCTTAGCACCTTCACGAGGACGGTGCACACCGTCCCCTCCAACAACGACCAACTTTCTCCTAGAGCCAGCAATCGAGTTGGGGGTATTTTACAGGTGGGTAGGTTGTCAACATTCACAGCAGTCGCAGTCGCACCGGAGTGCTCAAACAACATCTACTTCTGAAATATCAAAATACTCATAACGCAGGCAAACATACCACTCTTTTGAGCTTTGCATCGTCACAAGGACGGCGCACACCGTCCCCCCCCCCAACAACGACCAACTTTCTGTTGGAACGAACAATCGAGGTGGAGGGTATTCGACAGGTGGGTAGCTTATCAACATTCACAGCAGTCGCAGTCGCACCGGAGTGCTCAAACAACATCTACTTCTGAAATGTAAAAATAATCATAACGCAGGCAAACATACCACATACGCCGCCTTATTGACCTGGATTAGTAAATCGAATGGGAGCGTACGTATCGTGCTTCTTTTCCGTGTGCAATAGTGCGTTCTCCTGCAGCACCTGGGCAACCGCCCTTTTGATCAGTCCACGGAATTCGCATCGATTAACTTTGCCTTGGATTCGCAACACCTCAAACCAACTTTTTTATTATATACTATCTTTTCTGGTAATGTTATTTTCAGTTTGTTCCGATGACGCGTCTCTACGTCTTTACTTGTGTTCGCAAATGTTATTGCATTTTCGGGCGTTTTGTTTCATATATATATATATATATATATATATATATATATATATATATATATATATATATATATATATATATATATAGCAACCACTAATGTGGGTAGTTTGAAAAGCAAGATGATTTCATACTAGTTGCTTGATTGCAGGCGAGTTGACAAATGCGGTTTTTCATGCGGCCATACTTACAAGAGTCTGGTGAATCATTATTTACCGGGCACTGCACACGCAGGCCACGGGTGCCAACAGATGAAGCTTTGGTTGCTAGCGTTGCACTATCCTCGGCTGCATCCGCGCACCCCATGTCCTGTGTGAACCCGAGGCAATAAGATCTGGAGGCGTGTGGATCAGAGCTTCGTTTCTTCAACGGAGTCGGCTCAAACTCGTTCATGCTGTACAGCAGCAGCATTCCTGTATATATAATTTGGGAGTCATGCACACCATATGTACACAAGGCGATGATTGGCCTGTCGCCTGCTCAACACTTGATTCTTTGAACCTTACACGATCTCAAGGATCGTGCACCCTGTCCCTAAGCGAAGAGTAGCAGTCTCCTGAGGTGAATACTCGCTGTGGTGGGTATAGGCACTTTGTCAACATTTACATTAAGCGCAGCCCTACCGGCGTATCAAACAACCAACGCAGATTTTGAAGGAATATAACTACCAATTTGGCGATGCATACAATGGATTAACAGAACTTGGCATATCAAATGAAGTTGCACAATTTTTATCCAGGTTAGGATCTGTCTAAACAATAAACATGGAGTCACTGAAAACCATTGAATGAATGTACCTACTAAGCACATAGTCACCAAGTGGAATAGAGCACGCCGTGATAAATGCTCGCACGGTCTAAAATAATTGAATTACGTCCAATGTATGCTATGCGAACGTTTCGCACGGCTTGCTTTATTCGCTAGCACGGCCGTACTGGAAGTGATCGCGCGGTTATCGACCTTCCGCGTAAGGGACAGAATGTCGAACGCTAAATTCCATTTTATTTACCCTTGGTCTCATACATTGTCCATACTGAGCATCTAATGATAAAAAACACTGCTGACTTGAAACTCTTGCGGACATGGCACGAAATCGAGCTCAATGGAAAGATGCATGTGTGTTTGCACTGATTCTACTGGTCAACACGGTAATCACTATGCATACCAAGAGGACAAGACGGCATGTCCTTTTATCACTTTGTGCTTATTACGCACATTCATCCCATGGTTTTCGCTGGCTCCATGGCTAGTGTATAGGCAGATCTTAACCTGAATAAAAAATCTTCAAATTAATTTGCTTTGCTCATTTCTGTTATTCTACTGCATATCCTGTTAGTTTTGCATCGTTATTTCCCCTCAAATCCTGTCTTGGTTGTTTGATATTCCCGGAGTGGCTGCGCCTGATGCGAATGCTGACAAGGTGCCTTCTCGTCTGGGGGCGGGGCGCACGGTCCTTGTGACTCAAAAAGTGGCTCTGTGAATCAAGTGTGAAGCAGACTACGCCCCAACCTCTGACTCTCATAATTACCAAATTGGATAAAGTACATATATGACACAGCACAATAAAACAGGTGCAGAGCGCATGCGAATAGAAAAGGTACAATATTATCACAGGCGCAGGGTTTCTGCCATGTCCGAGAGTGTTTCCATCCTGGTATTTCCTTGAATAAGCTGCGTCTACTTTCTCCACTCCTGTACCTTCGCACTGTAGTTTTTCATTGTGTTCTGTGTAGCAAGTGGTCAATTGGGGTCTATTCGAGTAGCGTTGACACAACACCTATGGTCGAAGCATTCCTCACGCCGGTATGACTGATAACGGCGGTGCATTTTTCTACCTAACCTGGTTCGTTTGGCTTCAACCTTTGCTCAAAGTGACAGCGTTGTTGACTCGAAAACGATGATGGGTTTCTAATAATGGAGAGATTGAACAAAACGTGGACTCTAAAAATAAAAGTATATTCTCGGTTTGTGAGTTCTTCAAACTCATTTTAACGTGTTCGGCTACCAGCACCCATGCCAGATATAGTGTTTCCAGATAGGAATGTCGGTGAGTGGCAATTCGTTTTGGTCTTATGAGCATTGACTTTTCTGTTTGCGCATGCCTGTTACTAAGTTGGCTTAGGTGTACTGCATCCGGAGTATTATTTCGTGAAGACTTCACTCTCAGTGCAGTGGAACGGCTAACATATCTATGTGGTTGCAGTTTGACTAGGAAGATGTAGATAGATAACATGGTTTTCGAGCAGCAACAATCTTTTCAAAATGCCCAAAGAACTTTGCAGCATCATCAAACTCACTACGAGATCCGGTGTTGTTTTGCAGCTAAGTGGCTTATATGCTTTATTAGTATCTGAGGGGCAGTTCACACCTAACCCATGGCCGTCGAAGTGTTTCTTCTGCTCTACTTTATGTAGTTCTGGTTACAGAAGTGTTCGGTGAGTAACCTGTAGCTAGTCATTGGAGTATAGGCACGTCGTACGAGCTCTCTTGACATTTATTGGAGAATCAGATTGCTTGTCCAGATCTATTCATGCTCTAGGGCGCTGCCGTGGATTTTCCTAGACTGCTTGTTCTTCTTGATTGCGATTAGATGGCTGCTTCCACCGGTAAGTGAATTTTCTATCCACAACCTGGCCGGTCAGTCTTTTCTGGTGCACCTTTCAGCGATGTGCAGTACCACAGCCTTCAACGATCAGCGGAGTCATTAATATCCCGAGCTTTCAGATTACTCTTGCTGGATAAGAATCCAAAGCGGTCGGCTATAGACGAAGCACTATTGTTCACGCAGAATCGTCCAACACCCTGCGCACAGAAACAATTGAGGCAATCTATTAGATTGCCGTGGCGTTGATTCTTTTAGTGTATCCTGTTCATAAACGTTAGTTTCACGTGTACTTATTCCTTTACCTTATGTATGTATTATGTTTGCGACTGAGTAGAACAATCAAAATGTTGACACCTCGCAACATTTGTTTTCTTTTTGCAATAATGAAATATCCTGAGTATTGGGCATTATTTTGTATGGTTTGATCGCTGCTGTAACTCCACCGAGCCGACTTTTGCTGATAGGATACTATAATTCTATTTTCATTCAGGTGTAAGCTTCCCGATCGCTTCCACTCTTGGGTTCAGAAACTTGCACATTTCAATTCTGCTTCCGGAGATGATCCTGGCATCTCTTTGAATGCAGGCTTAGTTCTTGCAAGCATGTGAGTTGTTTTGCTTTTCGACCCACGTGTCTTCCATATACTTGGTTCCTATTCTCTCAAAAGACATGAAATTGTTTTTGGCACTTTCCTGTGGCATTCTTACTTCATCTATGCGCTTGGTCATACCCATCCATAGATAGGGCCTCATGATATTTTTGGTATTTTTTGTGGACAGACCGGCAGTTATGGTACTCTTCTTTCTCACGGATCCCTTTCTCTGTACGTTCCGCAGCGCAGTAAATGTTCACTCCTTCAACTTGAATTTATTAACCCTACTCACTGAGCCATCACTCGTAGAATTATTTTATGTTCTATTCGCTGTTACTGAAGAAGACGCCGTTTCAAACGGCTCTCCTGCTTAAACCAACGCGAACAACTTTATCGCTTTTGAGCCAATTCCTTATCTGTTTGATATCGTTAGACCCATAAATCTCGAGGCGGTCTAATGTTCCCAAGCTTACTCCAATGCAGTGCTCCTCGAGCCGGATATTGAGGAATTCGTGCTCTCTTATTCTGTGTGCATTGTTTGCATTCCGCTTGAACCGGCTATTGCACAAACAGCCGATATGTATCGACCCGCCACCCAACGTTGCGAGTGTCTACCTTATTAGTCACTGCATTCGAGCGGCTACTCACGTACTCAGCTCGGTGACTCACACCTACCAACTACATAATCCTTAAAAAATTGTATGTTTGTGGGACTACGAAAATACATATCGCCGATGAATATGATTCGTCGTAAAGGTAAACGCGGCTATGTGTTAATGTCTTCAAGACGGGGCCAACTTGTTTCAACTACTCGAAAACATTTCACTTGAAATGTGTATAGATAGCACCATTCAAAGCAACGCGGCACAAATTAGAAGTCTTGATCAAGGGACCGAAGGTGGATAATTGTTTTCGATGAATCAATCGTCAGACCTTTACAATCATATGGGTACAAGAGCAATTGGCGTAACTGTGGTTTTTATCACTTCAAATGAAGTTAGATCACGTACCAACCGGAGGAAAAACCAGCCATAAACATAAACGATAAGCGCAAACTAGGGCAAAGATATATTCAAATGATTGCTCCTGGCCTCCCAATCGTTTATTTTATCTGACCAAGGTAGCTTAAGAGCTACAATCAGTTTCTTTTGTGAATACAAAAGTAGCTGATACAACCGAATACTGATCGCCTCGATTGTAGCGAGAGTGCGGAGGCGTAGGCCTTTCGTTTGGAGTGGCGGATTGGGTCGACTTCATGCCCACTACCAACCAGATGAGCCATAACCGAGCTGGTTATTGCCCTGGTACCGCCTCGACGCAACCAGCGTATGAGGTACTCATTAAATGCGCTTTGACCATTGCCGTGCCGTTCGACCGATGTAAGTAGCTCCACAGGCGCACTCGAACTGATAAATGACCACAGAAGCGGTCATCATAGACAACTTGTCTTTGTTGCAAATACGAAGGAGGGTTCCGTTGAGAAAGTGCATTTGAGCTTAGCAGCTGGAAAAATTGATCTAACGGATGTTGAAGAGCTTCTGGCTACATGTTCGGCGACTGCGTCCCCTTTGAAAGGTAATCTTATAAAAAGGTCTTTTTGGTTGTTGGAACCTTCACCGGGTCGGGTTTGTCTTGCATCTTCTTATGAATGAATCGATCAGGATGCCTGTTTTCGCGCAGCACATTTTGAATGAAACCTAACTTAGTATACAACGTGTCTTCAGAGCAAATTCTGCGGGCCCTTGTGGTTAGACAGCGAATTAGGTTTCGCTTGTATTTCAAAGCAGCGAAACTATGGTAGTTCGTATACTGGCCACTCCGGGTTTTCTTCTTGTAGACTTGCCGTTGGATCGAGCCATCTTCCCTACGAGTTAACACTGCATCAAGAAACGGCAACCGATTGTTCACTTCCTTCTCGCAGGTAAACTGCAATGCTGCGTGGGTCTGGTTAAAGTGCTCAATAACTGCTTCGAGATCAGTTGACTGATTGGACACAGCAAATATGTCATCCATATGGCGATGGTAACAAAGGTGGTGATCTCCGTATGTAGTTTAGTATTCTCTAATTTCGTCATGAAGACATCGGTCAGCAGCTGACCTAATGGTCATCCCATGGTTACACCATCCAGTAAATAGGAACTGTGTGTTCCAGGTGCAGCGCGAAAGGAGGCTTTTCAAATCACGCAATGGTATGTCTATCGTTGTTTGTGTTTTTTTGATGTAGGTGCAGACGTAATCTCAAATGCCATCGCAAAATGCTTAACGTCTATTTTGGATCCTATTAGAAAAGGATAGCCCCTCACCAACTGACGGACACTTTTCAATTTGTGAAAAACGTTAAAACTATGAACGTCTTAGGCTATCGAATGTTTTCTTTGGACGTCGTATCCCTGTTCACAAATGTCCCACTTATAGAAACAGTTAACTTTCTTTGTATTTACATTGAACAGCACAAGATAAAGATCGAAATACCAACTGTCCATCTGAAGCAGCTATTACTCAGCTGCACTTATAACATCCAATTTCAATTCAACAATGAATTGTACAGACAAGTAGATGGGGTAGCGATGGAATCACCTCTCGGACCACTATTGGCTGATATTTATGTGGGAATGTTAGAGGATGGCCCACTAAAATCGGTTATCTCGGGCCTACGTCTCTACCGACGTTATGTGGACGTCATATTCTGCATAACTGAACAGAGGAACAACTTGCAAAATGTCGTCGTGTTTTAACAAGTCACATCCCAACTCCACATTCACAGTTGAAGAAGAAATTGATAACCAAATGCACTTCTTAGATGCAAACTTAAAGCGACGAGAAGATGGATCAATTCAGATAAGAGTCTATAGGAAGTCGTATTGGACAGGCCAATACACACACTTCTGAAGTTTTGTGCCAATAAGCCGAAAAAGAACATTTGTACATACACTAGCCAATCGTGCACGGAAAATCTGTAGTGAGGACACGATTGAAGAAAAAATGATGCAAATCAGGCAGACACTTCGCGAAAACGGTTATCCAGAACTATTCATTGACGTTCATATAAAGTCGAGTAACCCAAGACCAATAGTATAAACAGTGGAAAAGAAACAGCTATTTCTCCAACTCCCCTTTAAAGATGACATACCGGCAGAACTGCACACGACGACTGATACAGATTTGCCGAAAGACCTTTAATGCAGCCCAACTGAGTGTCGTTTTTGCAAGCAGTTCGCTCTTTGTTCCTAGGTTCAAAGACAAGATGCCTGATCAACGCCAATCAATGGTAGTCTACCGGTGGGGGCTAGGTACATTGGGCGCACGACCAGACATTTGGAAAAGCGAATCAAGGAACATCTACCAACGTCGCTCGCCACCCAACTAGAAAAAACCCAGTTGAGTGCCATAACCAACCATCTGATCTGCACCAATCATCTGATTGATAGGCGCAAGTCTTTTGCGATCCTCTATCGAGTTCCATCACTGCTACACCATCGGCCAGGAGCTCGGCTACTCGCTACCGCTGAAGCAGTATGCATCAGGTTGACAAAACCAAACCTATGCATTCAAAAGCAACATATACAATCCTTACAACTACCCTGGCCAGCCAGTAATAAAGATGCATCGGACCTCACTCAGTGGTATCACATGCCTTCAGTCACTTGACCACATGACACGTTACGTTAAGCATTTAAAATTTTTGTTCAATCAATAGTTACTCTCTGTTTTCCCTTATGAACTCCGCTTCTCAACGTATATTTATGTACCAAGCCTGATGATGAATAAATCGAAAACAATTGTTCGCTTTAAGCGTACCGCTTGCGTTTCTTCTTACAATATGTAATCAATTGTCTCGAGAAGTGAGACGTTGATGAAAAGCGAGTCAGCATCCAAGGAAAACATTATTTTCTTACCGATGTTGCAGTTCCTGGCGCTTTCGATGAAATGAAAAATGTCACGAAATCCGTGGGAATATTTGTAGCTCGGGATGCGGATGAGGGTATGCGGGTGTTCTCCGAGTTGGCTGATTTGGCTGCAAACGTTTCATCGTCAGGCTAGACGACATCATCAGTGCGATTTATGCGGGCCGAGAATCATCAGTTTGATTTGGAGAATGTCAGGATCATAGGCAGGTCAAAATGTCGAAAACACGTGAGTTCATCGAGGCTTGGTACTCGGGGAAGAACTCAATCAACAGACACTTAGAACTTGATACTGCCTATGAAGCGCTGAGGGTCAAAACAATGCTCCGCCCCAGATCAACTGGACAGAGGAATATCATTGAGGCGGACTTTAGCCAATAGTAAGCAAGAGCTGACTACACGGTCAGCTCAAGTGGACCACCAGACTCCTGACGTTCGAATCAAGTGATCAATAATCACTTGGATCTGTAAATGGCCCGCATAAATCGCACGGATGATGTCGTCTAGCCTGACGATGAAACGTTTGCAGCCAAATCAGGCAGCTCGGAGAACACCCGCATACCCTCAAATGTCACGAACGGAACAAATCAAACAAAGTGGAATACATTGGCTCCAGATTAAGAGGATGAAGTTTAAGTGTAAGTCGGCGTAGCCCAGCATACCGTCAGAGCTGAAGAAATCCAATACAGTTGAATTTCATTTATCCAGGCTAAGTTAATCTAAAGGAATACTTTTCATCTAAATCAAGTAGGTCTAATCTATGTGTATGTCGGTGTAGCCCAACTGCGGTGAATAAGCATCAACCTCAGCTACACACATATACACCTACAAACCTATTTACATTAATAAATTCACAGGTATTGTCATACTTTTATACGTTATTCGAGCACTCGTTTTACTCTTACAGTGATTATACCCTCGCAAGCCTGCCTCACCTTTGCACCATTTTGTGAGGGTCAGCAAATCTTTTTGTATCTTTTCCAACATATCTTTCAGACGTCTAAAGTTTATATTACACAACACTATGATATAGTCGGCAGAAGTTTGGTGTCCCATGTTCAATACCGCCTGTTATATCATTGATATACATCAAGAAGTGCTTATCACTAAGGACGCTCCTTCGGATCACACCACTAGTCAAGTGCTATGCACTGCATAGCGTTTCTCTGAATTCCGTCAGCGATACTTTATGTACTTTCCGACTCGCTCAAAAACCCTTTAGATCTGACTCAGTTTGCTTTGTCGACTGTTGTGGTCTGCGTTGGACGTTCGTGCTAATAGTATTAAAAATAATAATAAACGTGTATTGATAAGCGAACGAAAGAATCGATAGTCACTAGAGGATGAGCAAACCACTACTTCAAACCACAGACCTGCGATTGAAACAGGGGAACAGATGCAAGCATCCGCTAATTCAGCCTGCACCATTGATCAATTGGCCTTCATTCAGTAAATCGGAAGCACTAACGCCAATCACTTTTGGTTAGCCTATGGGCGCTTTTTACCATGTCGTCAAATGCCTATGCCAGAGCAGGATGTGAATGGTTAACTGGAATAGCTGACCAGCCTGATGCCCTCACGCAGTGGTGAAATTGCCGTCATATCACTGGTTGAAGCGCCATATGCGAAGCCCACTGCACCGAGTTTTGAGATATTTTCCTCCTGCCATACTGTTAATTCACTTGTTTTCCATCAGACATACTGTCAGCCCTCTTATCTAAATCGGTCTATTAACTTTCCTTAACACAAAATGAGCTGCGTCTCTTTACCGAAATCAGTAACCAGCACTGTTAATGTACAGATTTTGATCTACATGAGCAGGACGCACCTTCTCTTTACTTCACACACATCAGCTCTCACTAGACTATGACCAGTTTTATAGTAACGCCACAGGCTCCTCATGCTTTATAAGTCCCTCCCTAGTCACAGTTTGTGCGTTGGTACCATGCCACTATGCTGTTTTCACAGACGCGACCGCGTATTCGGGCCCTGTACGTGCATTATATTTGTTCTGTTTATCTGTTTGCGTGTTTTGTGGTGTATAGCAGACTGGACGCTTGTTTATCTACTCACTTCTGTGCAACGAATATGTGACCCACTGGTTGCAACTTTAAGGTTTGCGAACTGCATGCCACCAATTTGCGCGTACTCTCATTCCCACTGTGCTAGTTTTTTTACTTCGTGCTTTTATTTCCTTGATTGTCTTGTGTATGCAATAGGTATTTATCAAAAATGTATATCCTGTAAAGTGTCCGTTCTTCAGTCAATGTTGCTGGACTTCTTGAAGCTTGCACGTGTACCATTCGAGTACTCCGTAACCCACAGTGTCACCGATACGCTGATCCTACCACCCCGATGCGACGATCTGTGTGCTCGCGGACAACTTAATCAGCATGACAGCGAATTAAATAACTGTATTTTTCCGTACTCCTTTCCTTAACGTTGTGTTCATCTTTTATGTCTCCACTTTTGCATGACTCAGTTGACCGATTCTGATTATGGCTGTACATACCGCTGCTTGGTATGCCAGTACAGCTCCCATCATATCGTGTATGTTAAAATTCCCAGGACTTTACAAATTAGACTGAATTCTACATTCATCTATGATTTCACCGCGACGACTGAGGCTTATCAAGGTTTTCCTCTACGTAATTCCTTCGGGTTGACGCTAGGCGAGCCTAGAGCGTCGCTACGTATTGATAGTGAGTTGGATATCCAGCAAGTTCCCTGATATCTTTCTCTCATGTTTCACTGACTCTTTAATGATGGGGCATCGATTACTCTCTTACTACTTAACTCTGACAACTGGTACATGTTTTCCATTAGTTTGTCCCAGCAGCTTACACGCGCGATAATCTGGCCTCTAATCAGGGAAAACGCCAGACACGCTACATCCCAGTTCGCTTGCAAGTCATGACATTCTGCCACCGTCCCCCGTGACTCAGTGGCATATGCTGCTGGTTAGTTGGCGCAAGCTGCTAATTTTTTTCAAGTGACCGAGGGAATGCGCAGCACTGACGAGCGTTAATAGGACGTAACGACCGTCTGGTGCATTTCTGGATGGGGGAATAGATTTTCACGCGTGTGAACTGCTAGGACGAACCGGTAAAATGTCATCTAAATTCATCCTATTCCTCAGTAGTACATGTGTATTGATCAATCGTCCTTCTTCGTAATTTTTTCAATTACGCCACTTCAAGATGTATTCTTCTCTTTTTACTCCCTTTAGCTACTTTGCTGCTGCCTTAAAACTCCTTGACTCCCTTACGAGCTGTTCAAAATCTCGCATTGAATTTGGAAAGGCTGAGTCTCCCTTGATTTTACGATGTTGCCTCTTGGTCTCTTTTGGCCTCCACTGCGTGTCCCATTCACTGTACTTACGTCGAAATATACATAATACCGTTATCCAGCCACCACTCGTGGATGCTAGTAGGCTTCTTCAGTTCGCTGAATCAACTTTGAAACGAGCCGTGGATTTACTGGTAAATGATGCAGCTCGGGATCAACAATACTTGGATCAGCATGAAACTGATGAAGATATCTGCGAAATGAACAAGATCGCCCAAATCGAGTCTAGTGATGAACAGATGGTCCGTAATCGCCTGCTGATTAACAAGTATCTTCGTTCCAAGGCTTGGTATGGTTTAGCGGTTCTGTATTCAACAATGTGTGGTACGCTACGATTTCGCATTTATTTACCTTACCCATGCACTGCATCGACCAATGTCGCCTTATTTTGTCTTGGTGCTTACAGCTTATTACTTGCCAACTCAATCTAGACCGAGTTCTGGGTTAAGAATTCTTTTCGAATAAACTCTCATCGGGCTCAAACACTTACAGTGCATAGGTTAGTTGTTGTTAGCATCAGATCGAGCTGGAAAATTGACTCATGAGTCATTTGAACAATCACCTCGATAGCTTGTGGATGGGCTATAGTTGGTAGGCAAAGTGGAAATGTGGAAAGTAATACTAGTGTGTTTTCAGAATATTCGTCGCGACTGGGCTCATCCAGGCAGCAACCACACATCCGAGAAAGTGCCAGACAACCGTTTCGTCTTATTGGAACTCGTAACTGGTGCGCACCCATCGAATCCTGCCAGTTTCGAACTCACGGCCGTATTCTTTTAGCCAGCTACTTATGGCACTGAGTTGTGGATGACGGCAACGGACCGCCATGACTGATATCAAACTGCGATATAGCGCGGCTTATCCTCCACTGCCATGCTATGAACGTGCAGAGGACAGGACTGGCCCCCAGGACTGTGACCTCCTTTGCAATCCACCTCTAATCGAGGTGGCATGTGAGCTGCTAAAGCGATTACTGCTTACTAGTGAGTAGTAGCAAGAAATAATACGTAAACGTTTGGCAATAAAGAGTGACTAGCTCAGGTGACACACAAACGGTTAGGTAACATTTCAAGGTAGTAGTTACCGACGTATGTACCGTTAGTACACACATAGGTCCGGCTTTCCCATCTTTGTCTCATGCTTTTTTTCTACCTATTGGTTGCTTACTGCTGTTTAGATGTTCAGTGGTATGCAACTTGGTCACTGATTCTGTTTTCATAAGTATCTGCCTTGTTGACGATGGTCATTGCCTCGGTTACGTATTCCGACTTCTTTTGTTTGAGATTTTCTGCATTCAACTTTGGCTTACTGAAAGGTTCTTCAACGTAGTTCCTGTTATTCAGGAGTATGCCTCACGCAGCAACAGGGAGCATGTTCAGCTCGTAGCGTGATTTCAAGGGACCGTATAAATGTGATCGATATCAGCCTCTTGCAGAATAAGAGGCTCCAAAACAGTTATCTTTCGTTTTTTTTTGCTTTGATTGGTTGAATACCTTCTTACCAAAGTCAGTCGCAAGTAGATCTCAACGGGGCTTAAACCTTATTGTCTATAGCCTGTCTGACTTGTAATGGGGGGTTTTAAGGCCGTGAACAGCATTTGTGTTTTCCTCCTATCCGTGACAATCCGCGGTTTTCGTTTACTACATTATCGCATCTGAACTTTTATATCCAGCATTATTTTCTATGACTTAGTTCCAGGCTGGGAAAGCCATCGGCCTCTTCCCAATTCTGTCTCATGAAGTGTTGAATCTGCGTTTCTCGGGCATCTAATCACTAATCTGTTCGATATGGATCATTTTGAAAACAACTCGGACGTACCACTCGGCCTGATTCAGTAAGCCGCGTTTCTACTAAATCTCCGTACTGAGATCTAGTCTGATGACTGTGAATGCCACCAACTCCAGTCCATTGCCGAACGTGGCGGACAAGCAGTGCGGATTCCGTTCGCGTCGCAGCACTATAGATATGGTGTTTGCAGCTCGTCAGTTGCAGGAGAAGTGCAGAGAACGACACCAGCCATTGTACTCGCTTTTTGTTGATTTCACCAAGATATTTGATAGGGTGAACTGCGAGGCACTGAGGATGATGTTGGTAAATTTGGTTGCTCGCGTAGGTTTGTAAGTTTAATTGAATGTCTGCACAGTGGTATGCGGACGAGGGTGCAGCTGAATGAAGAGACCTCGGGTGTCTTTGCAGTTGTCCCTGGTGTGAAGCAAGGCTGTGTTTAATATATATCTTCATGCAATGTTGTCCTGTGCTTTTGATGCCGCTTTCGCTTACGGTGTTCGTGTGGAGCACCGTATTGATGGTGGGTTGCTGAACACCCGTCGTTTTGGTGAGAGAACCCTAGTTGGTGAGACAACTATCTGTATGTTGCTGTTTGCTGACGAATGTGCATTGTTTGCACACAGCGCGGATGAGTTGCAGCTCATGACTAGTGCTCTGGCTTCGACAGCGGCCAAATTCGGGCTTATCATCAACACAAGCAAAACTGTCTGTCCCTTTCAGCCTTCAACGGAGGTGCACACTTCGATATTGCCGCAAATCAGCATTGCTGCTGAAGTATTAGAAGCAACCTCCCGTTTCTGCGACCTTGGGCATGTGATGTCGACTGATCAGCAGATACACAGTGAGCTTCGTATTCGCGTGTCGAACGTAGTGGCGGCATTCGGGAAGCTTGAGTACCGAGTGTGGCACAACCATCAGCTTACCATTGGCACGAAGCTGATGGTGTACAAATCCATGGTGCTGTCCGTTCTTCTATATGGCAGTGAAACATGGTCGATGTACCGGCGGGATGTGCGATATCTCGAGCGGTTCCATCAGCAGTGTTTGCGACGGATTTTGCGCATCGGATGGGGCGACAGAGTTGCAGACACGGAAGTGTTACGACAAAGTGGGATGTATGCAGTGGACTGCATACTTTTGCTGCGCCACCTGAGGTGGCTCGGTCATGTGTGGCGTATGGATTCGACGCGGATACCGAAACAACTGTTATACGGTCAGCTGAGTATTGGGAAGAGGCATGTGAGGAAACTGAAGCTTCGTTACCAGGATATGATCAAAGTGAGCCTCTCACGTTCTAATCTTGATTGCAGGTCATGGGAATTGAAGGCGTTGGATCGGTGTGCATGGCGCGATCTGATCACGAAGGCAGTTGCCCAGGTGCAGAGGCAACCCGTCATGCATGCGGAGAAGAAGCGGTAGGCGCCGATGGATTTTACTCCATCGACATCGAGCGCATGGTGTTGTAGTACATGCGGTCGCGAGTACCTGAGTCAGGTAGGTCTTGTGAGCCATGAGTGAGACGCTCGGGTCCAACACCCAAACGACGACGGGTCCTGCAGAGGAGGTAGGCAGAACGGGCGCAGCGTTTGTAGGTACGCTGCATTCGATTCCTAACCGCTTGCTTGCATGCTTAGTTTTTTTTAATTTCAGGTGGTGTGTTTGTATTGTTGTCTCAGTATTGCCTACGCTAACTACTTTTAACTTGCACACGTCGTTCAAGTTAATCGTAGTTAACTTTGATAACATTTTTTCGATTGTGACCTTTTCTTAAAATCTATTTTTCGCCGTCTTGAAACTATAGCGAAGTATTTTTTGCAACCAATTTATTTTATCCGTTCATTTAATGAAGAGTTATGTCACAGTATCTCTATGCACCATTCGAATTATTTATTTGATATTGTCGTTTCAAGTGATTAACTGTTACTTGGTATCCTTGGTGTGGCTGCGCATGATGCGCATATGGACAACGTGCCTACCTGTCTATTACCCACTAACTCGTCCATAGTGGCTCCAGGAGACAGTTGGTTCTTGCTGGAGAGGACGAAGTACACGGTCCTTGTGGCCGTGTTAGGTTCGAAGAGTGGTTACATGCACTTAGTGTGGAGCGGACTACTGTCCAGCCACCGCTTTGTGTGCGCTTGATTCCCAAATACAACGTGCTTGTGTTTGCCTGTGAAGGAGTATGGGCCGACTCCGTTGATGGAACGTGGCTCCCATCCACATACCTCCCGGCCTTATTCTTTCGGGTTTACACTGGATATGAGGTGTGTGGTTGGAGCTGTGGGTACTTCAGCGCAAGCGACCCGTGGTCCGTCTATATGCACAGACGTCCTGTGGCTGTCCCCATGGAGGCCACAGTGACAGGCAAATCCGGATTCGGATGCTGCCAATCCATGTATGTTATCTCAACTGTCTAGCAGCTAAACATAGAGCCAACAAACCCATGGAGATTAGCAGATTAGAGTAAGTCACTGCGTCTTAATCATCGTGGCGTAGTAGTTGAATGTGAGTAACACACTTCAGCTACTATGCCGCAGGAAGAAGGTAACCTTTTGACATAAATTAGAAAGAAACATTTTAGCTGGTTTTTCTCACGCCGATTTTTATCCTTTTTGTCATTTTCAATATTTAAGGTATTTAACATGTGAGTCAATACAATTATACACACAATTCTTTCACTGATTCCGGTTGCGCGCCATGTCTTCAAGAGTGTTAATCCGTTGGCACTCTTCATATTTGGCTCCCCATCCAGAATAACGTTCGGATCCAACAGCGGATGGACACGACGTCAACGATTTCATCTGCTGTCGCTAAGTGGAAGGCTGCCAACCACGCGGTCGCCTCTAGCCAAGTCCTTGACGAGCGAATAGAGCGCGATGCGGTAGACGCTCAGGTTCCATGCGTAGGACGTGACCGAGCCTTCTCAACTGGCGCAGCAAAACCAGTTTGTTGAAGGGAGTACTCGCATTCCTCAAGATGCGACGTCGAACGTCATTACTGTTAACTCGATGTTTCCACCAAAGACGATCAATCCTTCTTAAGCAACCCTTATTTGAAGGCAGAAAGACGACGCGTTTCTTTCACACAAATCGACCACGGACTCGCTCCCATACAACAACACTGAACGAACAGATGCGCTGTACACGTGGCCCTTTATCGAGAATGAGACGTCGCACAACGCCACCAGTGCCTCAGATTGGTAAACACTGATCGGGCTTTAGCGATGCGAAGAGAAATTTCTTTGTTGCCAGTGCCGTTATCAGAAACACAGCTCCCAAGGTAGACGAAACTATCTACCTTTTCAAGTTGTGCACCTTCGCGAATGAGCGCGGGAACAGGTGAATGCCAATCCTTGAGCAGTACTTTACACTTTGATGGGGCGAAGCTCATGCCATACTTAGGTACTTGAACCGCCAAACGATCCAGATTGAGTTTCATAACCTGAGGATCGTCACCAAGTAAGGCGATATCATCAGCATAATCTAAGTCAGTCGCGCGCTCACTCTGTAGAAGCTCTAGGTCCAAATGTTGGAAGA